GCAAGGGATGCCCTCTCTCTCCATTGGCCTCCATCACCAGGTACGTGATATATGGTGACTGAATCAAGTGTTCATTCTACAATATTGGAACATATTGTCACAGGAGGATGTCAAAATTATGCCTTTTGAACAGGAAGGTGTCCAGTGTTTGGAATCGCCCTCTTGATTGATGTGTCCCTTATGGACTTGGCCAGATACATGACCTTACCATTAGAAGATGCTGTGGCCTTCAAGTATGTACTCAAGCACTGCATTGTTCTTGATCTCAGAAGGTGAAGCCTAAATGAATAGTGGTCAGTTTGGCTTCCTGCCTCAAGATGAATGTCTGTTGAGTTAAAGGAGACAAGAGTCAGTTTTTGCATGCTCACTCAGAGAAGGTAGCTTCTGCATTTCTAGCTGGGAGTCCAGGATAAACTGATAAGCAGGACATAATCCAAGTGGTGAGCGAAGAGCTCCATGTCGGGATGCTTTCTGGTATTTTGGGGATTGTGCCATCCAAACATGTCTTATGTGCATTTGGTAGCTCTTCTTTGGACATAGGAACAGCTTTGGTGACGGACACATGGTCTATCAAGGAAAGCATTTCAGGTCATGTTTGATAGATCTTTTATCCATAATATCTCATATTGGACCTTGCTGCAGCAGGTCAGGTAGGCTTAGCTGAACTCTTGCACTGGGTTTCAAGTTGGGTTTCTGGACCAGTGGTAGTCAGAGGACCTAAGTCAGAAGATATGGATTACACCCTGTCTAAAAGCGAGCCTAAACTTGTGGTTGGAAAAGCAGAATCTTCTGAGATGTCATTCCCGTCTGACGACCTAGTGGCTGGTGGTGCAGTCAGACACCAGCAAAGTAGTTGGGGAAACCTAATTCAGGAGCAATGGGGTCAGGACCAATGGCCCTTTTTAAGGGTCTAAGATGGTGTCCAACATCCTGGAGTTGAGAACAGCATTTCAGGCTCTCCTAGCCTTCAGTCACCTCATCCGGGTTGGACCTATCCTTGTGAAGTTAGGCAGAATGAGTGTGGTCTATGTCCGGAAACAAGGGGGGCACTCACAGTCTCTCCCTCCTGAAGGAGGTTTCGCTGATTATAGAGTCGGCCCAAGTCAAAATTCTGCAGTTATCTGTGGCCTATGTGCCCATTTGGAAGAATCTTCAGGCAAACTATCTGTCCAGGAAAATCCGGGATGGCTATGAATGGTCTAGACTGTTACAAAGCTTTCGAGAACTAATGGAGCTTGGTAATTTCTTCTAGAGGTAGACTTGTTCACATCCCCGGTCAGCACCAAGTTATGCCTAAGTACACTATGGGCCCACATTTCAGCTGCCTTTGCCTTCATTGGCGTAAAGTGGGCATCCAACACTTAATTATACTGTTCTTCAAGCTGCGATTTGGTTGAATCCTCCCTAAGGGATTGTTGTTCCTGAAGAGGGATCACCCATTGGTGTTGGACATTTTGCATCAAATGCCTTCAATCAAAAATGGCCCCCTCTGGTACCTCTCGCTTAAAATTGCTTTCCTGATGGCAATTACATCAGCCAGAAGAATGTCGGTATTAGCTGCCTTGGGGTTTAAATAATCCTTTCTCATGTTCTTTCTGGACAGGGTGGTACTCATGCCGATGCTCAAATTTGTGCCTAAACTGGCCTTCAGAGTCCATATCACTCCAAATGTTGTCCTTCCTACGTCCCTCTTGGGGAGTACCGTAAAGGCTAGCCCATCAGATGTGGGCCAAGCTTTAAAATGTTACATAAAGGAAACATCTGGCATCAGAAAGTCAGAGTACTTGTTTGTCATTCCAAGTGGAACGTATAATAACTTCACAGCTTCCAAGATTATTGCCTCTTGATTGGTGAAGCTCATCTCCTTGGTCTATAAGTTGAAATGGTTTGCCATGCCAGGGGTGGTCAGGTCACTTCACTCTCCACTAGAACGGTCTCGCATTGTTAGCGGCAGCAGGCCAAGTGTTCCCAGACAATATCTGCAAGGCAGCTACAGGGGCGTCAATAAATACATTAAGGTATTACTAAACCCAGGACTCTGCATTCACTATATCTGGTCTTCCACAGTACACAGAACATGTAAATGCAATTATTTTAGTAAATATAAACTGCTAAATACATTTTCTCATCAGAAGTTAGAGCAGTCTTGTGGCTTCTATCAGTGTTCAGCCAAGCACTAGCTAAAGCTTATAGTTTTCTTTCTGCTCTAGGAGGATGCAAAGCCCCTGACCTCTGTCTGACCAGTGCTGGTTGGCCCTGTGCTGATCACATGCACCCTCCAAAGAAAAAAATAAACCTAACAATACACACCAAACTGAGCATGTGCAAAATGCCTATGGTTCAGTCTGTCTTATCAGGAGATAAGAAGTGGTCGTTTAAAAAAGGGGAGGAAAAGAGCAATCATGATCAAACTGCCTTGTTACACAATGCAGAGGATTAACCCCTTAGGTTCCACAGTGAGTATAACAAGCATGCTTTACTGCATATACAGATGATTTTACTGTTGTAGGTTTAACACTTTAATGGCTCATTGCTGTATAGAAGCAGTCTTAATGACAGCTGAGTTTGGCAGAGGCATCCTGGGTTCTGCTTTTAACAAGTATTAGTCTAAGTTCACACCTATGCAGTTTGCGTTTGATACATTTCTGCTGTGTTTTTGCAAATGCGTTTTTGATGCTTGTTTTTTTCAAACTTGTTGTTGGGCAGATTAAAATGCAAAATGTATCAAAATGTAAAAAACACGTAAAAAATGCAAAAACGCAACATTTTGAATTTAAAAAAGTCCCTGACACTTTAAAAAAAACGTAAAAAAACGTAAAACGCAGAGATGTCAACCTGTCCCATAGGAAATCAGGTTAAATGGACTGCTGTGCATTTCTGCAAAACGTAACGGAAAACTCATTGGTGTGAACCTAGACTTAAGGAGTGTGTAGCATTATCCCTCCCCTGTGTGGCTAGTTAGTTTCCAGCTGTGTTGACATGGAGCCATCAGGAAAATTGAACCTTGAATGACAAATACTTACCATAATTTTCCTTTTCTGATGAGGTCCATGGCAGCATAATTCCCACCCAGCTTGGTAGGACTAGTTACAGAATGCCGAGGCTGCAAGTAGGTTAAAATTTTTGAGTTAGGTCCTAGAAGCATGGGGGGGGGGGGGGGGAGAGGGGTCCATACCCAGCTGTGCTGACATGGAGCTCATCAAAAAAGGAAAATTACGGTAAGTATCTGTCATTCAATTTTTAGTTTTCCTTTCTACAGCAACCATTTTTTTAAAAAAAAACATACTGATTTGGGCATAACGCAATCTGTCCCCTGTCCATGGTGCTGACTGGATTGTTGGAACATGCACAAGCAATGTGGGATCAATTAACTAAAGGAGTTCACTTTGTAAATGCATTGATAATATTCAAAGAGAACCTGTATTCACTTTTAATGCTCAATCATGTGGAATTTAAATGAATATTGTAGCAAATACATGCAATCCCTAGTATTTGAGAAAAGACTTACCACATGACCTTGCATTGGGTATTCCAAAAACAGGCAATTAGTAAATGTTATCAAAGCTCTTTGATTTGAAAGCCTTGGACATCTCACAGAGCAAATTACAATATATATTATATGTAATAAAATGGAATCAGTGAGCGCTTAATAATATAGCAGCTATAGCACAACAAAGGTAACCACAGAAAAACCTACTAAAATACACAAGTAAAAAAGTGCAGCGCTAAAAGATATAATAATTTATCTCCACGCCACCGGAACGTCAAGTCACTATCAACTCCTGTACCTATCACCTACCACGAGCTGTAACCAATTTTATCATTATATTATCATTTTACTGATCTATTATTTTACCAGGATATTATTATTTTATCATTTATTACCAGACTGAAGCATATATCTTTATATCTTTTAGCGCTGCACTTTTTACTACAGTGTATATTATAGTTCTTCTCCAAAATAGGAAAATATGAAGGATTTGGAATCTTTTTTTCTACTTAGCAAAGACAATAGGAGTGTATGATGTCAATAAGCAGACTAGGTTATTTTAAGTACATTTTTAAATTACTTTCACATTTTTTCAAACTTGCACGATCATTTTTTTTGTTAAAGTGATATTAAACCTTTGGTTTTTTTTTTTGTTTTTTATTAAAATAACAAACATGTTACACTTACCTGCTGTATGCAATGCTTTTGCACAGAGCAGCCCTGATCCTCCTCTTCTGGGGTCCCCCACCAGTGCTCCTGGCTCCTCCTCTTCGCTCCCAAGAGCCCTGTCTGTGTCCATTGAGACAGGGCAGGTGACTCGGCCTCACCCCCTGCTCCGTGTCACAGCTTTTGATTGGCAGCACGGGAGCCAATGGCTTCCGCTGTTGTCAATCTGCCCAACGAGAAGGGAGACAACAGCTAGAGCTCCTACTCTTGTGCATATTGCTGGATTGGATCGGTAAGAAAAAGGGAAAAAGGGGGGGGGGGGGGGGGAGGGGAGCTGCAGCACAGAATGCATTAAGATGAAAAACCTTAAGGCTTTAGAACCACTTTAATGTATTAAATATACAGATTTTTATATTAGCCAATAGGGGGAGCTCTCTGTGGTTTAGTGCAGTTTATCTGTCTCTGGCATAACATAGTGTGGTTTTTGTTGACTGTCATGTACTTGCCCGTGTATAGATTTGTGGGCACAGCTTTTGGCTCTGTATGTTTGCACATTGTCATAAAAAAAGATACCACCAACGATACCATTCATTTTTGCATGAGGTAATGTGGTAAATCTTGCAGTGCACCACAATGCACATACTGCGGAGAAATTCACTGATTGCCACAGGATCTCCCTGATTAGTGCTGAAGCAGGCAGGCACACAGGCAACATTCACTCACTCAGTCTAGGGGAGGTTTCTTTTGATATTTATTGCTAAATAAACTTGTGGGGGTTCAGGGAGCTTTGGGATACTCCAGCAACACTGTAGAGTAACAAGAGGACACCCTCACTTTTTTTCACTTCCACTGAGACTTTGTAAGCATTGTCCCAGCCAGGGGCGGACTGACCATTTGGAAACTCGGGCACTGCCCGAGGGCCCGGGGTCAGTAGGGGGCCCCATGAGATGCCCCTGGTACCTTTTTCATAGGCTTTTTTGAGTTTGGGCAAGGACACAGGGGCCCCATGATCCCCTATTGCCCGGGGGCCCCATGAGTTCTCAGTCCGCCCCTGGTCCCAGTCCAAGCAACCAGTGCCACTTGTGCACAAAGGAAAACAGCAAAGTCACTAGGATCCTAGAATCAGGCCTGTACTCACAATATCCCATATAACTGGATGCCTCCTTCCAATATCGGCCAGACAGGAACCAGTGAGCTCTTCAAACCAGATCCTCAGTGAAATCCTACAATAAATTCTAAAGATTCTCAGAAAAATAGGCCCCAAGCTCTGACCTAGCTGGGATCTCGAGAAGCACATGCAAACTTCAGCTGGGCTGAACTTCTCCTACTGGACAAGAACAGAGCCTGTCCCAGGCCCCAAACTATTTATGTACTCCCCAACCTTTTCTAACCCTCTACATTCTAGAATTCTCCAGAAGGCAGGGGAAAACAATGAAACCTGTAGCCAGTGAAGTCCAGAGCAGCATAAAACAATCGCAAACTGCTCCACTGACTACAGAGGAGCCAAAAATAACTAAATTTACCTAATCATCCTAGCAACCTATCTAGGAGAGTACTGCACATATACATTGACCAGCCACAAGAGCATTGACGTTCTCCCCTCCAGCACTTAACTATTATACGCACTCTGTTGTGCTTTTTGCTGAACTGCAACAAGCTTTATTGGTACCAGATAGGTCCGACAGACATTCTGTCACTCATGAGATGTGACTTCACCCTCACTGATTCATTTACCCAATGGGCTTAAACTCCAAGCCTCAGAGGACAGAATTACATCTGGTGCCTGCACATCTTGGAAGTGGTACAGGATCCCAGATGTGTTGGTCAGGCAACTGTAGTCCACCAGTAGGAACCAGATGGAGGAACACAGTAGCACTGGAGCAGAAGACAGAAGCATAGCCAGGGCAGGAATCATAGGTCAGTATCAGCTGAGCAGCCAGTTACCAAATTAAAAGACAGAGGTGGTGTCAGGATAGAGGCTGAGGTCAGTAATAGCTGGATACCATACTGGTTTTCTCTCAATTTTATTTTTATTGTTTGTTTTTTAAGTGTACATGTTTTTTTTTCGTAACCATATATATATAACTCTGCATAAAACTTGTTTTTAATTTTATATGATAAATCCTAACTTTAATAAATAAATAAAATATGCACAAAGCCACTGTACATTCCCTTTAATAGTGACAATGACCTCCTGATACTTGACAGCTTTGCAGAAGATACGCTAACAAAGAATTGTCATTTTCAACACCATCACTTTATTTACCCACCCAAAGCCCTTCTACACAGATCTCACATCATTGGCAGATCAGTTAACTCCTCTGTGATAATCTCTTTCTCATTAGGTGGCCAAATACTGGGTCAACTGCAGTTTGAATATGCAGATGTGGAAAAACACTACAAGCACTAAAAATCTGAGATTTTATGTTGTGTAACGCCTTGTAGGTTGTTTTCCTGGAACATGGAATTTCTTTGTCTGCAGCCTCACAAAGCTTTATGCAAACATTTAGTATTTGGATTAAGAAACGTGTAACTCCTTTCCAGTCAAAATTGATTTTTTTCTAAGGACTTTGTACTCACTTCGTGAGCTAGTTTACATTCCTCTGCATTCTTCTGTTTTAGCATAAACACAGTTTGTGCTATTTTGCAAAAATGCAACATAAGGTGGATACTGAAGGAGAGTTAAAAAATAAAAATAACATATATTTTGCAGTCTTTCACTAGCATTAACACAGAAGTTTTAGTTTTTTATTACCTGTTGATCCTGCCAGGAAATCAGTTATTTTTTAATTTCCTTTATTAGGGTGACAACACTGTTCATTCTGCAATGAAATCGCAAAGCTGTGTTGTCGCCCTATAGACAGGGGAGCCTTAGCAGGGCATGTAGGTATAAACAGACTTTTAAGAGTTCCTGAACTGCAAGCTGTGCCCAAAATAGTAATGCAAAGGGTAAAGGACTAGTCACTCTTGGTGTCTGTAGGTTCCCTCTAGCTAATCTTTTCCCTGTTCTTGATTTATCATGCCTTGTTAATGCCTTGTCCTACATTGTGTCTTTGTGTGGAGGCAGCCATCTTGGTAAAGTCAGAACTTTGCTACCTTGTTCCAGAGCTGCCCCTGTGATGACTGGTGATTTGATGATAGGTGGGGGAAGATGCAACAAATAGCACAGAGGTGCTTAAGGCATACATTTCCAGAATGGATGATTCAAAAACAGGGAATCTCTTGCACTCCAGGTCCTCAGGTACAGCTTCTCTCCAGCTAGCAGAACAATGAACAGCACAGTAGTGATATCACCAAATCTCATTATAAATCTAGTGAGGCAAGCAGTCACGTGAACAGTGCCTTTGATCTTAAACCGCAGATATACAGCTATGAGGCTCAAGGCACAGGAAGGGAAGACAACATGTGCACTGCTATTGTTTTAGGAGGAATTAAAAAAAAGGTTCATCTTGCAGGGTACTGCTTTGATACAACTAACATTTCTAGAATTTCATGTAAGATAGTGTAGCACTACCCCCCTTAGGAGTTGCTGAAGTTTTGGGTCCCCTTATACTCCTGCACAGCCAGGCAACACGCATTTCAACACTGACTTGCATTCAGGGGACAGTAACCAGTCATTTTACTTGTTTTCGGATTTTTATTAGGGATTTCAACTTGGATAGGGTAAGGGGTGTATGGGATGCCCAATGGAACTGAAAAATCGAGGCCAACTTCCTGAAATATGTACAGTGGTTACAGCAAAACTGTTTCTTCTGGAGTGCTAGCCAGCATCTCCTGTAGTACCACCCCAGACCCTACATTTTCCTTATCCAGCTGTTCTGGTTGAATACCCAAGCAGGGGATCCAGTGTCTGCCACATAGATAATGAAACAGTCCTGGGTGGCAGACTATTCCAGTTTTTTTTTTCCACTAGAGTGCCTCCTTCCCCTATCCTGCCCAGGAGGTGCAGGTCTAGTCACTCAGCCCTTTTCCTGTAGTGCTGGTGGGTCGGTGGCAGCTACCAGGCCTTTTAGCTGGGCCACTCCTTCCCTGCTACACAGGTGGTCCTCGCTCTGGGGGCCAGTGAAGGTCTGAGCTTTCCTCCTTCCAAGCTCTACTGCCTGTAGATGAGCCCCTCTCCATCTGGGCCTACTCCCAGGCTCCTGCTCTCTTGCCTCACTTCTTCATCTCCACCTTCCACCCAAAGTCTCCTGCTGCTAAGCAGGCTCCATTACTCTTAAAGTTTGTCCTGGCCCCTTGCCAATCTTCCTGTTGGGGATTGGCCAGGATCCTTTAAGAGTACAGACTAGCCACTCCTCAGATCCACCCACTAGTTCTAGACCTTTCTCCAAAGTTCTAGAGCAGGGGCAAATTCCAGAGGGCTGGTCTGCAGAGCCTCTCAGCTCTGACCATAACATGACCCCTGCTAGCTTTCACAGCCAGGCTGCTGCTCAGCACTCCTTGCTAATTGGAGTCTAGCTCCCCCTAGGTGACTAGGATGGTGCTTCATTAGCAAATCTTTACTTTTTGAGTTAAGGGCCACTTAAAAGTGGAACTGTAATTTTAAAAAAATTTAACCGCTTCCCGCCTGCCCACTATGTACTGCGGATGGGCGGTAGCTGCAGGCAAAGTGACGTACCCGTACGTCGCTTTGCTCTTACTGGTTTAGAATGTGCATGCGCAATCCCCCTCCCCCCGCTGGCCCCCACTGTCATTCATTGTAGGAGGTGTATGTCAGCAGGTCTCGGCCAGTGATTTTGGCCAATCTCCTACAGCGATTGGAGATGCAGAGCTGTGCCTGTTCTTCTCTCCCTGGAACCATTTTGTTCCAGAGAGAGAAGAAAGACATCACACGTAAGTAAAACCAGCGCACTGCACCCTCACACGTTAGAGACATTTTCACCCCTTGATTGCCACATTTAACCCTTTGATTGCCCCTTGCCACCCTGCCAGTGCCATTAGTACAGTGTCAGAGTACAGTATTTTTCACTGATCACTGTATTAGTGCCACTAGCGATGTCAGATAGCGTAAGAGAGCATCAGGGTCAGTTAGCGTCCCTCGCAGCTAGGGTCAACTAGCGTTAGATTGCCCACACATTATCACACTCATGCTATAGGTCGCTGATCACCGTCATTACTAGTATAGTGCTTGTATGGATCAATATATTGATCATGAACAAAACTATACCAGTGCCCCCTTAGTATTAGTGTTCACAAAAACTCAGTGTTAGCAGGATCATCCCTGTTCACTGCCAGCACTAGCGTTTAGCCCCAATGCTCCCCCCACCCCTAACAAGAAGTGCAGTGTCAGTATAATTTCTGATCACTGTTACCTGTAATACATTGCACACAAAACCAAAGTGTTCACAGAATTAGGCCTGATCTCTGTTAGCACTTGCTGGTAAATTTTTTTGTAGCGGTTCAAGCAGTCCCTGACAGCCAGGTGCTCTTTTTTCCGTGCGTCGCACTAGGTACCTGTAAATTTAGAGTCCAAAATGTCCAACGAAAAGGTACACTAGTGAAGAGGCCTACAGGATTCTGAGCATGTCAAGTGAGAGCAAAGGGTAGGACTCCCTGACACTATCAACCTCAGAATACGAACCTGTAGACAGTAGTGGCACCTTGACAGGTAGCTCGGACAATGGACAAGAGATCCCTGTTAAGATCAGGCGTACCCGACCCCATGAAGCTGAAGTGCTAGGATCGCATGACTTGTCTCATATGCAGCAGAGTGCCAGTACTAGTGCCGCACTACCTTTTGGTGAACTGGCGAGCACCAGCGACCTAGTATATCCTGGTCTTTTTTATACCAGCACTGCAGTATCACTTGGTGACGTGGCTAGTCCCATAAGTGCAGTACAAGCTGGTGTGGTGGTGAGCACAATTATTGTCCCGCAGCCACCAAGAATTCGCACACAGGCCTGTAGAGCCCCTAGTGTCCTTCCAGACGTGCTTGCAAATCCCGATTGGCAGCCCACAGATACTGCGGCACCCGACTTTCCCCGATTCACTGCCTAACCCGGAATTCAGGTGGAAACAGCAAATTTAACTCCCCTT